CTAGAAACAACCACACATCTCTAGAGGCCTCAGTTCTTTGTCTGTTCTCAGCTCCGAAGTCTGTCTTCTGCAGATTTTGAGGCCATGACAGTGTGCTGGAAGAACGAAGTAGGGATTTGAGAAGATTTTCAATTTTCCCTGTGTTCCTTCAAGTAATGGATACGTATCCCAATTCTGGAACTTTTCATCTTGTGCACACAATACTGTCAATGTTGGTCGCTCCCTCCGTGGTTGGTATCTGGGCTCGAGAGATGCAGAAGGCACTCATCAAACTACTTTGAAAGAGATTCGAGTCTGATTAAAACTCTTAGGTTTGAGAAAGAGAAAGAAAGGAGTGCGATCTTAGCCACACTTTCATCCAAGAAGAAACTAGGCGGGAATTGCCCCCGAAAACAAGAACTGAAGGATTACTCAACAGGGAGACCTGGTGCTCCCCTTAGGAGCCCAAATGCCAGACAAGGTGGGTCGGGCTCGGAATGACACTGGTAAAACACGCTGGAAGATGACCTGCTTACTATCAACGCCTCTGAGTCCCGCACGTTACAGACCAAGGAGGGACTGTCAGCGCACCTCTAGTCTCCGACTTAGGGCCTCGTCGCCCAGGGAGACCGCGCCTATCAGAGGCCAGGCGAGTGGCCCGGCTCTCTGAGGGCGTCAGTAGCCTCGGCAGGTCGAGGGAGGTCCGAGATTCAGGCCCTATAGCTTCGCTCCATCCCCACGGCGCCCCAGTTCTCACTCACCCGAACTCCACCTCCACACACAAGGGGGCCGCCATGTTGAGGAAGCCGAGCTAGCAGGATACGCCCTTCAACTTCCGGGGCGCCCGCTTGTTTCCGGTCGCCGCCAGGTAGCGTAAGCGGAAGAGGCGGTACCTAGAGATCCGGTGCTCCTCAGCTATTGGACAAAGGCGCGGTCGCGGCGCTGTGGGCTGGGGAACTGGTTGCCTAAATTTTTTTGCAGACTTAGTTTCCAGAGAGCTGGGTTTGGAAGGAAGCGACTTCCTGAAGAAAGACGACTTAGAGGAAGAAATTCATCAGCGTCCGATGACACGATTGTGAGCCACGTACTGTTGAGCTTTCATTGGTCACAAATCTGTTTTTAAGCCAGGCGTGGTGGAGCACGCCTTTAATCCCAGCACTCAGGCAGACAAGGCCAGCGCCTGGTCTACATAGGCAATTCCAGCACCGCCAGGGCTACATACTTAAGATTCTGTCTCAAAAACAAAACCAAACTGTAGGGTGTACTGTGTTTCGTGGGGAAATCAAAGAAAAAGGATCACTCCAAGATGAATTTTAGGCTCTCTGGCAGCAGAGATGAACAGTTTCTCTGAACCTCAAACATCTGTGCAAAGGCGTATTTATTGATTATTACACAAAAGTTGTTTTTTTGGGTAAAACAGGCCCCTCATACCAAAGCCCCTGGTCTAATCTATATGTTTTCTGAAAGAAAACTTCACACCTCTGCAACTTTAGTCCTTATTGTGAACTATTTAGTACACAATAATTCAAGACGCTCCAGGTGTGCCAGGATAGTCCTGTGACCAAAGTCTTGCAAAGGCTGTAAAGCTCCTGCCAAAAAACAAATCTGTAGATAACAGAAAACAGTCACTTTTCCACAGTGATTTCTTCAAGGTCTAAGTACTTCTAGAAAACAACCATTCACTCTGAGTTTGCTGTAGATACAGTGAAAAATAACTATTTCATTCTAATATTTACCCTAGATACAATGACTCTGCTAAATTTTCCTCTACACCAAACAAAAACAACCAAAACAAGAAAAAAGCCCACTCCAGGTATGGTGGCGCACACCTTTAATCCCAGCACTCAGGAGGCAGAGGCAGGTGGCTCTGTGAGTTCAAGGCCAGCCTGGGCTGCACAGCAAGTTTCAGGACAGCTGGTCTACACAGAGAAACCCTGTCTTAAACAAAAACAAACAAACAAACACAAACCAAAAGAATCCTGCCAAACCTGCCTTAAGCCAACACATCACTTCAGGGAGTAATACAAGACCTCCCCAAATTCTTACTCCTGAGCCAGTTGTCTGTGTTTACCCCAAGGTTATTTAGTTAACACTTAGTGTGCCTGGCGTAATGCCTGGTGCTGTGGAGTGTCAGTAATAAAGGATGAGAGCGAAGTTGCTGCCTCTAGGTCACTCTGTAGCAGGGAGACTGGGAGACAACTGTAATCAAGTACACGATAATCATGATAACAAACATGGAATCCCACACTGAAATACATGATCTGAAGTTATAGACTCTGCATTATAGATATTTGTAAGAGGAATGTCAGGCTGGGGAGATGGCTCGTCTGGCAAGGTGCGTGCTATGCGAGTGTGAGGACTGGAGCTAAGGTCCCAGCACCCACGTACAATGGTGGGCGGGCATGCAGCCTGCCTCTAATGCTTGTGTTAGGGAGGCAGAGATGCCCTCCCCAGGGCAAGCTAGCAAGCTAGACTATCACAATGGGCAAGCTCTGAGTTCAAGAAAGACCCTGCCTCAATATATAAAATGGTGGACTAGAGAGAGAGCCCAGAGGTTCAGAGCACTGGCTACTATTCTAAAGGGTCCACATTTCGTTCCCAGCACCCACATGGCCCCATACAAACTGTCTGTAATACTAGTTCCACTTATATGCATTCAGGCAAAAAGCTAATACACTGGATCAGTGGTTAAGAGCACTGGCTTTTCTTCCAGAGGTCCTGGGTTGGATTCCCAGCAACCACATGGAGGCTCACACCTGTCTGTAACTCCACCTCCAGTGGAATCCAACACTCACATAAACATACACGCAGGCAAAATAACAATTCACATAAAAATAATAAACCGCCGGGCGGTGGTGGCGCACGCCTTTAATCCCAGCACTCGGGAGGCAGAGACAGGCAGATCTCTGCGAGTTCGAAGCCAGCCTGGTCTACAGGGCGAGATCCAGGAAAGGCGCAAAGCTACACAGAGAAACCCTGTCTCGAAAAACAAAACAAAACAAAAATAATAATAATAATAATAATAAACCATTCAAACCAAAGCTAATACACTTAAAAAAACTTTTTTAGTATATGGTGGAGAATGATGATTGAGGAAGACACTCAATGTCAGTCTCTGGCATCCACATACATGCAAAACAAAACAAAAAGGCAAAAAGAAAAATGTCGTTTGGAGATGTAGCCCAATGGTGCTGTGCTTGACGCTACACAGGCCCTGGGTGTAGTACCAGGTGGCACACACACACACACACACACACACACACACACACACACACACAGGCAGACCTGAGTTCTTGGTCTACAGAGTGAGTTCCAGGACAGCCAAGACTACACAGAGAAACAAAAACAAAAAAGTAGGCTGGAGCCAAGCCATGTCCTATAAACTAGGTAAGCATTCCAGAGTCAAAGAGAAATGGGAGTGTAGGGGTGGGTTTCTTTAGCCAGCCCCTTTTCCCTCCAGGGAGGCTATTGAAGGCTTGAGGAGGGGATGGGACTGTTTAGATTATTTTGGGAGGTAGGGCTATGGTGGAGTTGGCAGAATACCTGCCTAGCATACACAAAGCCCTGGTTTGATCTCCTGCAGTGCAAACACCAGTGGATATGACGTTGCATACTTGTCATTCAAGCACTCAGATGTTGTGTGATAATTTGATTGTGTTCTGACAAAGCTGGCTAGGAGTCAGAGGGTGGGGCTGGCCACTAGCTGACCATAGACGTTTGGAGGACTGTCGAGAGAGGAGACAGGAAGTGGTAAGGCAGGATAGATAGAGAGGGGATCTTGGCCCATTTGGGTGGATGAACAGAAGTAGGAAGTGTCTGACGGCTGCTCCCTGCTTCTCTGATCTTTCAGGTTCTTACCCTGATATTTGACTCCCCATTTTTTTTATTGTTAAAGATTAATTAGATTAATGATTCATCTGGCACCCAACTTTGGGGCATAAATTCACGAAATAGCCACTTGCCTATGACTTTGCAGCCACCGGCATCTGCTAGAGGGGCACGAGGGAGCGTCACATGCTGGAGTCACTGCGCCCCTGGCTTTTCCTTTTTTTCCCCAAGCCCTCTGAGTAAATCGGGATTTTCTGATTGCAGCCTCTTTACAGAAATCTCCACAAGCCCCAAATGGCACAGGCACCTGGACTCCACATGGCAGCAGAGTTAGTCCCTCAGCACAGGTCAGCTCTGCCTTCAGGCAGCTCTGGGCTCTCACTTCCACTTGTCATCAGGTGCCACTTTCACACATTCCCCTGTGTCTGCCTTTCAGATGGCTGGCTCTTTTGGCTCCTTTTCCTCATGGGTTGTGGGCTTCCCCTGGACCCACTCCTCAGGCAGCTGTCCTCAGCCAGGTTGTGCACAGCTTGTGTTATTCATCCAGACATGCTAGGCAGGAACAACCAGCCTTACACTTCACTGTCATCATCATCAGATTTGGTGAGACAACTTGGATTTTTTGTTTTGTGTTTTCTCAAGATAGGGTTTCTCTGTACTTTTTTTTTTTTTTTTTTTGGTTTTTCGAGACAGGGTTTCTCTGTGTAGCTTTGTGCCTTTCCTGGAACTCACTTGGTAATCCAGGCTGGCCTCGAACTCACAGAGATCCGCCTGGCTCTGCCTCCCGAGTGCTGGGATTAAAGGCGTGCGCCACCACCGCCCGGCAAAGCACATTTTTTTTTGTTTGTTTGGTTTTTTGTTTTTCGAGACAGGGTTTCTCTGTGTACCTTTGCACCTTTTCCTGGAACTCACTTGGTAGCCCAGGCTGGCCTCGAACTCACAGAGATCCGCCTGGCTCTGCCTCCCGAGTGCTGGGCTTAAAGGCATGCGCCACCACCGCCCGGCTTCTTCTCTGTATTTTTGGAGCCTGTCCTGGAACTCACTCTGTAGACCAGGCTGGACTCAAACTCATAGAGATCCTTCTGCCTCCGACTCTCAAGTGCTGGGATTAATGGCATGAGCCATCACCGCCTGGCCAACTTGGAATTCTTTTTTTTTTTTCTTCTTTTTTTTTTTTCTTCTTTTTCTAGCCAGTTTGTTTCTTTCTAATGAATTGACCATTAGATTTCCAAATTTCTGAAATGGCCAACAGACCATAGAGAGACATTTCTTTAGGCTCCTGCTTGAAACCAACAGTTCCAGCAAACTGTTGGCCTTGATTCAGGGCCAACAACTTGGAATTCTTAAAGGGGAGAATTAGTTAATTAAAAAAAAAAAAACAAGAGAGAGAGAGAGTTTTTTCCCACATTAAAGAACAGGAAATACTATTATGATGGAGGGACTTATGTCTCTGTATGATTCCACAATGGATGGCTTAAAAATGGAACAATTAAATGAAGGAATAAGTAACTTAGCTAGAATTTACACAATGTCAACTATAAACATTATTGGTTTGGCAATTCTTGTTTTATCCCTAAAAAAGTTGGTTGATATCACTTCCAAGATACAGGCCTTAGAAAAGATTACTAAAGAAAATAATGCAATTTTGATTAGTAAGTTATAAACCTTAGAAAAAATTATTAAAACAGATAATAGGGATGTTCAGACAAAGACAGAGGATTTTTTTTTTTTTTTTTTTTTTTTTTGGTTTTTCAAGACAGGGTTTCTCTGTGTAGCTTTGTGCCTTTCCTGGAACTCGCTTTGGAGACCAGGCTGGCCTCGAACTCACAGAGATCCACCTGCCTCTGCCTCCCGAGTGCTGGGATTAAAGGCGTGCGCCGCCGCCGCCGCCGCCGCCGCCGCCGCCGCCGCCGCCGCCGCCGCCGCCGCCGCCGCCGCCGCCGCCGCCGCCGCCGCCGCCGCCGCCGCCGCCGCCGCCGCCGCCGCCGCCGCCGCCGCCGCCGCCCCCCCCAACCACCCGGCAAGACAGAGGAATTTATGGAGAACCAGCCTCACCATTACCTTATAAAATTAGAGAGGAACAGCCCAAAGTTAGCAAAAAAAATCAACCTTAATTTATCCAATCCCCTTAAAGGAACAACAGCTAAATGACAGGTATCCCCAAGGCTGTGTAAGAGCTCACAGGATTCCTGTGGAAATGCTAGATTTGAGGAGATTTAAGGAAGTGATAGTCTTGTTTGTTTGTTTGTTTGTTTGTTCGAGACAGGGTTTCTCTGTGTAGCTTTGTGCCCTTCCTAGAACTCACTCTGTAGACCAGGCTGGCCTCGAACTCACAGAGATCCACCTGCCTCTGCCAACCAAGTGCTAGGATTAAAGGCGTGTGCCACCACCGCCCAGCTATAGTCTTATATGGTATGTATTCACCTTTGGTGAGGCAGATGTTAAATTCATGGTCAACTAGTAACAGAATTATACCATAAGACTGGGAAGACTTGGTTACAGTAGTATTGGAGCCTGGTCCTCAGTTACAGTGGAGGATCTGGTGAAAAGATGAGGCTAGGACCATTGGACAATGAAGTAGGGTTAGAGGTATTGAAATTTCCTAAGACCAACTTCTTGGAGAGGGCAGTTATGCTGATGTACAAAGACAGTCTATATATGATGACCACACCTTGGCTCTATGCCATACAGCAGCTTTGAATGCTTGGGACAGAGTTGAAGTCAAGTCGGAAAGAGAACTGAATCATTTACTAAAGTTATACCTTCACTGATTTTTTTTTTTTTTTACAAAGATTGACTTCCACTGTAAATAGGATGATATCAGATCCAGAACTTAGACAAATATTAATTGAATCTTTGGCTTTTGAAAATGCCAATTCATTTGCAACTTTTAAAGGCAAGATCACCACCCGTAGATGAATGGATTAGAAAACTAATGTATAAGACTAACAAATGTTTTTCATTTGATCAGATATAATCTGCCAAAAAGGAAATTACCCAAAGTTAGGGTTGGGGCAGAGTTTTGTGTTTGTCTTTCCAGGATGAAGGCATCTAGCTAAGGAATCTGAAGACATTTGAACAAATGAGACATCTGAAGAAACAGGACAAATCATCCAGAGAAAATGTCCCCCCAAAAAGTAGTTTGGCCTAATGGTATATCACATTTCCAACAGGATAAAATTTCATAAATCTTCCCAAATGCTTGTTTCTGCTGTTCTCTACAGACATATAAAGCAAATGGTCTTTTTGTATTCCCAGTTCAATTAAAAATTAAAGCTGGCTTTGGAGTTGGAGCATGGCTCTCTGCTTCTCTAAACCCAAGCATGCTTGTTAAAAGAAAATCCAAAATCTGTGTCTCATGTCAGTAAAGCCATCTGATATGGGACAGAAGAAAAACCAAAATTAAGAGACTATTCTATTGCCACTAATCTCATAATTCTTGGTTTTATTTTGATTATTATTATTATTTTTTCAAGACAGGGTTTATCTGTGTAGCTTTGTCACCTTTCCTGGATCTCACTCTGTAGACCAGGCTGGCCTCGAATTCACAGAGATCCACCTGCCTCTGCCTCCCGAGTGCTGGGATTAAACGCATGTGCCACCACCGCCCAGCTTATTTTGATTCTTTAAAGCTTTTCTTAAGGCATAATTATCTCAAAATCTATAAAATTAATATATATATTAATCTTTTTGTCATGATATTAATGGTCATATAGAGTACTAATTATAGAAAAAGGCTTCATTAAGGCCAGTGGTGGTGGCTCATGCCTTTAATCCCAGCACTTGGGAGGCAGAGGCAGGTGGATCTCTGTGAGTTCAAGGCTAGCCTGGTCTACAGAGTGAGTTCCAGGATAGGCTCCAAAGCTACACAGAGAAATCCTGTCTGGAAACAAAACAAAACAAAAGAAAGGAAGGAAGGAAGGAAGGAAGGAAGGAAGGAAGGAAGGAAGGAAGGAAGGAAGAAAGAAAGAAAGAAAGAAAGAAAGAAAGAAAGAAAGATCTTTATCTAGCTTCCTGTACATGATTTCGGGTTTGAGTCTCTATCAGGTAGCTGGGAATTAAGTTTTTGTAATCTGGATGTACATAAAAAATTATAGTCCTTTAAACTCTTTGAGAACTGCTGCATATGACATTTAAAATGTTAAAGTTTTCTGCAGTGGACCATGACAATGATAGTTCCACCTTGGTTGTGGTCATGCACAACCACCTGACAAACACCGCCTGAAGATCGGCTTTGGACTACAAACTACTCAGGGCAATTTCAAGGTGGCCGGCTGAGATGGTCCAGCCTCACAGACTACTCTAGCCAGTACTTGAGACAAGCCCTGCACTTTCCCATCACACGGAGACTGGATAACAAATGATACAGCTAGCTCTCTCAGGACTTGACAATTATCCAATTTTTTTTTCAGGGTCCCCTAAAGATGCTGTTTCCCCTAGACATCAGGAAGTAATTTTAACAACATGACACCCACATTTCCAAGAGGTGGTATGGGGAATTTTTGGTTGTTCAGTGGGTTATGGATAATTTTTTTATCCATGGGGAGTTGGTTACAAGTTCTTATTGATAATGGTCAGGAACAAAGGAGATTAGATTCACGGATCTTGTTCTGAAAAGAAAAAGGGGAGTTATAGAAATTATAGGATAAAGGGTAGATTATTGAATCTACTTTTAACCAAAAAAGCAACTGCTAGTCTTAAATATTTTACATTAGCATGGATTTTTGTATATTGATACAAATGTGAGGTTATTTTTGCTATGCTGTATATATGTTTCTACTCTTGTTTAAGATATTTTTGTATATTGATACAAATTTAAGGTTATTTTTCTTAGAACATATAGTACATACGTTTCTACTCTTGTTTAAGATATTGTAGCTATACAGCTCATTTAACAGTATAATGTAAATTTCTAGTCTTTGGAAGCTATTATTACAGACTATTTGGGATAATAAATGCAGGTTAGTAGTGAGTCACCTATTATAATCAAACTTGTAATCATGTTAGATATGTTTTCAAGGTCAAATAGATATATTTTATTTTTTTTATTTATTTATTTATTTATTTTTGGTTTTTCAAGACAGGGTTTCTCTGTGTAGCTTTGCGCCTTTCCTGGAACTCGCTTTGGAGACCAGGCTGGCTTCGAACTCACAGAGATCCACCTGGCTCTGCCTCCCGAGTGCTGGGATTAAAGGCATGCGCCACCACCGCCCGGCAAAATATATTTTAGATAGACAGGTGGTCTTCAAACACTTCAGAGATCTATGGAATATGGCATTTAAGATGTTTTAATAAGCTAAGGTTTTTTTTTTTGTTGTTTTTTGTTTTTTATGACAGTGAGACATGTCTGCTCCTGGCAGCACCAATCTACTTCAGAGAAGATGATGGGCATCAAAGAACCTCCATATGGAGTTTACATTCTTTGTGGCAAAAGTTAGCCACTGGTCAAGAAGCTGCCCTTGCCTCAACTGCTGACAGAATTCTTTCCAAATTGGACAAGCAGGACACAAAACAAAGGACTTCAGAACTTTGCCAAGACAAGGCAGGACAGCCATTCAAAAATCCTACTTCACAGAAAAGTCTGTCAGATTTTCTAGACCTATAGGCTGAAGATGGATGCCCCAGTGTTACAGAGGAACCTTGGGTGACTGTCCAGGCAGTCAGCTGTTTCTGTCATTTCTTAGTTTTGGAAGTTGTTTTCACTGCACTTCCTGTTTACTCAGGTAATATTATATCTTTCTCAGGTCTCTGATGGAGTTGAAGACTAGATAGTTAAAGTTTTCCTTGTTACCAAATTCAGAAAAGAAACTCACAAAAGAGCTGTAAAGTGTACAGGGCTAAGAGACATAAAAAGATAGTTTTGGAGGCTGGAGAGACGGCTCAGAGGTTAAGAGCACCGACTGCTCTTCCAGAGGTCCTGAGTTCAATTCCCAGCACCCACATGGTGGCTCACAACCATCTGTAATGAGATCTGGCACCCTCTTCTGTGTACGTAATAAATAAATCTTAAAAAAAAAAGATAGTTTTGGATTGGTCATACAAGTTAGGATAGAAAGTGAATTAAGTATATTAAAGTATAATACTTTGGACCCACCAAGATAGGATAGATAGGGGCTGGAGAGATGGCTCAGTGGTTAAGAGCACCCACCGACTGCTCTTCTAGAGGTCCAAAGGTCCTGAGTTCAATTCCCAGCAACCACATGGTGGCTCACAACCACTTGTAGTGAGATCTGGTGCCCTCTTCTGGCCTGCAGGGACACATGCAGGCAGAATACTGTATACATAATAAATAAAAATAAAAAAAAAAAAAAAAGATAGGATAGATAATGG